GAAACCCCAATGCTATCTCTGTTAGCAATCATAAAACAGGCTAGAGACTATGATTCTAAACACGACTTAGTAGATCCAACCTAACTGATGCAGCACTAAGTATGTAAAGAAACATAATATCTGGATGATCAAGTTGATGGAAGCCTTTTTGAGACGGTGGATATACTATATAATCTAAACCAACACTGATATATAACCCTATCGGCTGTTATGTGATAATAGATGCTAGCCGTTATGGTTATATTGCAGTATTGATCTAAATTATACAGCATATATGATAACTCGACAACTTACATAAACTAGATTAGAGTGTCATAAAGATTGAAGCACTAATCCCGAGAACACAAGCCGCCATAACAAACTTTACCTCTTGTCGGAGATCAAAGTCAATGCAGCCCAACTCGAAAGCAAGAACTCGTCAAAAGCAAGAAAAGTAAAAGGGTGGCGATGCGCCGAATTTGTGATTGAACTGATTGTTGTTTGATTTACACGACCCTGGGTTCTATTTATACCCAGAATTACACAATACGTCCTTGTCGGACACGACTCTTATCTCTATTACAACCCAAAATAAGGATAACTCCTTAACACAAACTCTAACCGACAATACCTATAAGGAAATTAATAAAATATCCTAATTAATAGATACAATTGTCTTCTTTGGACTCAATCCGTACGTGGCAATCCTCACGAAGCACCTCAATCGAATCCAACAATGATTCTGCCTTCTCCCTATCGGAATCAGCTACATCGGCTATCCTGATCTGATTCTGTCTCAGCTGATGCATACCGTAGCCGATTTGTACTCTGTTTCCGCAACCGCCATGCTCCTCCAAATCTGCCTTGGTTCTAACTCTAAATCTAATGCACGATTTACCAAATTTGGTCGTTAACACTACCCTGAGCTAAAAAGCCTGGCCTGAGCTCATGCCTGACACTTGCCTGAGGTGTGTTTGGTTGGTGCCCTATGATTCTAGCCTGAAAAAACCTGCCTGAGCTCACACGCCTGACTTAGGCGATAGAAATCGGTCGCCTGAGCCAGCCACTCCAACTAGCCTGGTATAATCACCCCTCACCCCAGTCAAGAAGAGGAATCTGGAGACCACTTTCCCCACCTTGTTCTACTAGCCTAGCCTTCACAAAAGCAAATCCACGCAAAATCTGCTCCATGGCTGCGGGATGATGGCCGGGAAACCACTCCAGCTTGCAGATCCAGTGGTGAGCATTTATTACTGTGCTAAAATCCTACTGCATTCAACATATTCGAGCTAGCTGACTCCTATCTGTGATCTGCTCGAGCTAGCAGAGTGAAGGCTGAAGGCTAGTGAAGGCTCAAGTTCTTTTACAAATCCTCAACGAATCAACATGTTCTCTCTCCTTCTCTCTGCATGTGCATACTGAAATGTTTCCATCGAAAGGCTTGTTGTCAGATCTGAAATTGCAAGGTGAGAACACAGTCTCAAGCTTTTTTTTGTTGCGTTCCCCTCTCTTGATTTTTTTAGAACATTTTCCCTCTCTTGTTAGCCTGTTATTTCTTTTTTCACCAAATCTGGAAAAAGCGTGATTGTTAGAATAAATCAATGTGAGCCTGTACTGTAATATTACTTTATATATGTATATGATGTGTATTTTCTTTCACCTATTTCTTGTTTATTTGTCATATATGGTCAGAACAATGGATCTAGATCCAACTCATCAGTATATTGTCCAGCAACAGACTAGAACATTGGGTGTTTTAGCTGTTGTGTTTGCAATTATTCGGTGGCGGCGCCATGTAAAAAAAAGACGACGTCTAAGGAAATATGGTCCATTGGTAGATAGGGATCTGGTAAAAAAACAAGATTAGATGATTTGTACAATGGGAGTGATACAGATTGCATCAATCAACTTCGGATGAGGAAAGCAGTGTTCTGGAAGCTTGCCTCCTATTTACGTGATAATGGCATACTATGTGACACTATTCATGTCTTAGTGGAAGAACAATTAGCTATGTTCCTGCACACAGTTGGTCACAATTTGAGAAATCGTGTGATTGGATTTTTTGTCAAAAGATCGGGTAAGACAGTGGGCTGGTACTTCAATGAGGTTTTGAGGGCTATATGTTATCTTGCTAAAGATATGATAAAGCTTAGGTCAGTAGATACCCATTCAAAGATAGTAATCCTAGACGGTTCTACCCATATTTTGAGGTATATAGTGCTAAATATATTTAACATTTGACTTAATATAGCTGTCTTGTTTGTGTAATAATATTTTCTTCTAACTTAGGATTGCATTGGGGCACTTTAGGGATGAAAACGGATCGAATACGGTCGAAAACTAACTCTATCATATTCGTTTTCATAATTTTTTCGGAATCGAAATCGGAATCGGAAACTCGGATATGAAAACGGAATCGAATATTATCGAATACAAATACGGAGCGAATATGAAGCGAAACGAATACGGTGACGAATATTAATCGAAATATAAAAACCCCTCACTACTACAAAAACGATTTTTGTGTACGAGACCCTATAATTTTTACAAATGGACCACAACTTGCCACGTCGGCATTTTCGCATACGACTCCTTAAGACGCCAAAATGAACTTATTTTTGCATGCGGACCACCTTAAGGAGCCGTATGCAAAAATAAAATTTGAAAATTTGAAACTAGTTTATCTCACTCATATGAACTCCAAATTGGATGATTCTTTTTCCTAAATGTTTCTAAAATCATGCTCTATCATGTTACCGTGTTTTTACTTGTTGATGCAAAAAACACACAACGGCCTGGGAGATCTGCTTAGCTCCAGTGCAGGTCCAAATCTTGATAAGATGCGGGCGTGCCAGTCAGTTTGATCCTTCAACTGACAAGATATACAAACAGTAGATCAGAAGGCCGATCGGCTGGCAAGCCGATGTAGTAATTCCAGCCAATGACGATGTCAGCCGATAGCAATAGGGTTTTGAGCAATCAGCTAGATGTCCAATGTAGAATCTGATACTTGTTGTATATAATGATATAGAGGCAATCGGCTGATGATAATATAATATAACAATAACATAATCCAGTAGAAACCAATCGGTTAACAACGGGATAATAGAATAAGCATTGATCCGAAGGTTGAAACATACATCGGCTGGAGGTAAGAAAAAGGTTAGATCTGCTCGATCGGCTGTAGATATCAATGATATATAATCTATTTCTCAAAATATGTTTAAACCAAGTGATTGGGATAGATCAGACAGTGTGCCGAGACAGTATAAATCACTTATATCTAAAAACACTTCAAGAAAGTGATTATAAATATTCATAGCATAGCCGATGAAGTGAATCTAATGTGTATCAGCTATTATTCCGTCACCACTTTATGCTAAGATATTGATGTATAATATTTGTTATCACCGGCTAAATCCAACTTATATGCAATCCTTGTAAGCCGATGCAACGTCCAGATAACTCATCGGCTGAAACCCCGATGAAACCCTTATTGGCAATCAAAAAGCAGGCTAAGGATTATGATTCTAAGCACGACTTGGTAGATCAAACTTAACTGATGCAGCACTAAGTATGTAAAGAAACACAATATCTAGATGATCAAGCCCTTGACTGATTTTCAAGGTGGTAGATGCCTAAGCTAATCTAATCTAGCAAGGCGATTTAGCCGATACTGGCAGAAACCCTAAAGCGAGAGACAACCAATAGAGCTAAATCAAGATGCTAATACTAGATTAACAATAGACATATGATAAATACCCAAGCAAATATATTATCCAAACCAGAGCAATCCAAGAGGTCGAATGTACTGGGCAGCCTTGAACGACGCCAATGTACATGATACAATTGCCTGAGCCGACGGAACATTGGACTTACCCCTTCGCCGGAGATCGAACTGAACCGATGCAGCCCCGCATCAGGTGCCAAATTCCACCGGTTGATAAGTAAAACCTCAGAAAAGAGGGTGGTGATGCACCGAGAGTAGCTGTGATCAAGAGATAGATTACAATGACCCCGGGTGTACATATTTATACCCATGCGAGATACTAGTCCTTGTAGGACAAGAAATAAACTTTCCTAAAGATAAAAGGAAAATATAAAGTCCTTAAGGGACACTAAACACACTTTCCTAAAGATAAATAGGAAACTAACAAAATATCCTAATTAATAGATACAATTGTCTTCTTCGGACTCAAATCGCACGTAGCAATCCTCATGAAGCATGTTAACCGAATCCGACAGTGACATTGATATCCCTTTATCGAAATCGGCTACATCGGCTTTCCTCGTCTGATTCAGTTTCAGCTGATGCACACCGTAGCCGATTCGGTTTGCAGCCGATTCACACTTTGTTTCTGTGATCATCGATTTCCTCCAAATTTGCTTCGGCTTTGACCCCAAATCTAATGAGTGATTTACCAAATATGGTCGTTAACATTACTCCTATTATTTTGGCCATTTTTTCTAGTGACTTTGTTTTATCAATTAAAAATTTGAATTTCAAAACTTCAAATGATATTTTGAAGCAGTAAATAATTTCAGCTGAAAAAGTCATGAACATAAAAGTTGTAGAACTCATCAAGACATACAACTTTTATTTTCGTCATTTCTTCATCCGATAAAGTGATAGTAATATTGTTCACAAAATTTACATATCTCTCTTATAGTTTATAAACCAAATGAGAGATATGTAAATTTTGTGAACAATGTTACTATCTCTTTGTCAGATGAAGAAATGACCAAAATAAAAGTTATAGATCTTGATGAGTTATACAACTTTGTTGTTGATGACTTTTTCAGTTGAAATCATTCAATATTTCAAAATATTGTTTGAAGTTGTCATATTTTTAAATTCAAATTTAAACTGTTCAAACAAAGTCATATAGAAAAATGACAAAAATAAAAGTTGTAGATCTTTGATAAGTTATACAACTTTGTTTTTAACAATTTTTCCATTTGAAATCATTTACTACCCGAAAAATTATTTGAATTTATTATATTTTAAAATTCAAATTTTATATAGTTCAATCAAACTCGGATGGAGAAATGACCAAAATAAAATTGGTAGATCTCAATGAGTTCTACAACTTTGTTTCTGACAACTTTTTCATATGAGTTCATTTAGTATCATAAAATTTAATTCGAAATTCATTTTTGCCAAGAAGTCTGATTTGGCTCCTCTTTTTAGTTGGGTTGGCTTATAGGCTATGGCAGCCTTATATATAAGTCGGATATCCGATGGAAAATACCGGATAATATCCGACGGATATCCGATTCCGGCGGATATCACCTATATCATATTTGTTTTCATATCCGAATTCTTTTCCGAATTCGAAAATTTCCAGATATATCCGACCAAAACTATCCGAATCCGAAAAAAGCTCCGGTCGGACGGAAATTATCCGAATCACTTTCAACCCTAGGGCACTTGACAGCACACACATCCCTCCATTTGTCCCTGAGAGCATAGTTAACAGGTTTAGAGGTCGCAAGTCATATCCAACTCAAAATGTACTTGCTGCAATTGACTTTCATTTGAGGTTTACATATGTGCTTGCTGGATGGGAGGGCTCGGCACATGACTCAGCAGTGCTGGAGGATGCCCTTAAAAGATCAAATGGAATTCAAATACCTGAAGGTGTGCATGAGGTGCTAGTATTTTTAGGTGTATAGTATCCTGTGATAAAACAATAAACCCATTCATCTTATGTGTTGTAGGAAAATACTATTTAGCCGATGCAGGGTAGGCGGCAAGACCTGGTATACTTCCACCATTTAGAGGAGTTTAGTACCATCTGAAAGAGTACGAAGGCGGGAGAGCACCAGAAACACCCCAAGAATTATTTAATCTTCGGCATTCCTCTCTTCGCACATCTGTTGAGAGAGCATTTGGAACCTTAAAAAATCGTTTCAAAATTCTTGCTAGCAAGCCTTTCTTTCCATATAAAGTCCAAGTGAAGATAGTGATAGCGTGCTGTGTGCTCCATAATTGGATCCTTGATAATGGTCCCGACAACCTTGTATATGATGAAACTCGTTGGTTTAATGAACTACCTAGATCAGCTAGAGTAGCTACAGATCAAGGGGAGGAGCATAGGCAATGGATGGAATTTCGAAACAATCTAGCTAATGTTATGTGGGACGAACATTAGTGGCAATATCAACTATTGTATACTGCCATTATCAACTAGTGTATGCCAGCATTACTTGGTGTTGTGTTCCCATGGATATTGTTATATGGCTATGACCTATTTATCTATGAATTGTTCTGCTAGCACCTTTTTTGGGGTGAACTATTTTTTTATCTCACTTTATTGTTGCATTTGTTTATATGTTCTCCATCGGATACCATTATTACCTATGTCATGCATTGCTTTGTAGTTCACACCATAGATGTAGGAGAGAGCAACAGTAATGGCAAGGGCAAAGGCAAAGGCAAGGCAGGCAAAGGGGTTGTGAGGGCAAAACCTATAAATTGGCCCCCAGCACTCTGTAAATTTCTTATTGATTGGTACATTGAAAAAAAGTTGAAGTTGCCACCAAAAGGAGTAATTAAGAAGATACATCGCACTGCTTGCACATCAGCTATAAATGCAAAGTATGGCAGTACTTACACCGCTGATCAAGTTCAGCGCCACTATAGGTGTCACAAAGAGAATTGGGGGCTGGTAGCTCGCCATCTGAATGACAGTGGTAATGGCTGGGATGAAACAAACAGAATGCTGACTCTATCGTAATCTACTTTGGATTTACTATTGGTAATCACTTATTACTTAAGATACATGATATTTATTAAATGCATTAGAAGTTACTGATGTTTTTTTCGTGGTAGATAAATGGCCGTGGAATTCTTTCAAAGCCAATTCAGTTCTTCGACAAATTGCAAGAATTGTTTAGTGGTTCCTCAGCCAATGGAACATATATGCAAGATCCTTCTAGTGCTACTGATTTTGATGATGAGACTGAAGACTTTGATTTTCTTAATGATATGTCAACCTATGCTGAAACCAAAGTTCCACAGGGGGAAGACTCAGACAAGTTAGAGTCAGATAGTGATGATTGCAAGGAGGTGGCAACCCTTAGTGCAGCTGCATCAGTTAGCCAAGTTTCATCTTGTAATATGAGTGGTTAGAAGGCAAACAGAAGGAGTTTCAAAAGGTGTGGAAAGCCAAAGACCTTGCCCCAATCACATAACAACAAGGGTAACAAGCTTAAGACCAAACACAAATACATTGCATGGTGATGATGATGTTGATGGACTGATCACCAATACCTTGGTTGGAATAAAAAATAACCTTGACAAACCAATACAAACTGCAGCCCCCCCAGATCCAAATGCTCCTCTATGGAACATGCTCAAAATGTCCTAGAACCTGATGATAAGATGAGACTGGGACTACACCTTTGCAAGCCAGAATTCCAAGCTCATCGTGGTTTTCTTATAAGCATGGGTCAAGAAAACCTTGAGCGTTGGGTCTACAAGTTCTGATCCGGTGATGATCCAGGTTTCTAGTGAGTTACAAGTGCATATTGGTTGCAAAAGCTATTCGTGGTTGATTAGGGTCTGATTTTTGTTGCACCCTTTTGGTTATGCAATTGCTGCACTATGTGTGTTTAAACAATTGCTAAATATTAATTTGGGTACTATAGTGTTTCATGCTATGACATGCTAATATGCTAGCGGTCGTGCTCTAGCAATTGATAACCCGATAGCTTTGTGGCTCTTTACTTTTGTGCTATCTCTAACCTAACGTATTATTGGCTACAACAATGATGTATGATGATCTAGTTTGGATGTTTAATGGTAAATTTATTATTTCAATATTTCTATATTGCCATTTGCACATCTCTGCATGTATGATGCTTTGTGGATGTTCATGTCAAAGAACTAGCAAACTATATGTAAGGGTAATCTCACCATCTCAATAACATATGGTGACTGTACTCTCAGGCCAAGAATGAACCAAACACTGCCGAGGTGTTCTATCCTCTCAGGCATTGTTTCAGGGCATCAACCAAACATAGTTAGGTTTTCACATGTGCCTGGTCAGGCAACTTGGCTATGCAGGCTCAGGCAACCCTCAGGCATGAAAAAACCTCAGGCATGTTGCTCAGGGTAGCAACCAAACAGCCCTTAGATCCGAGCACCGGTGTGGACGGGAGTGGGGTGGGCCCATGCGCAGGTCCACAGCTCCACGTGGTCCGCGCGCACATGGACAAAGGGGGCGAGGATGTGGCGTCCACATCGGACGGCGGAAGGAGGAAGAAGCACAGGTGCTTCATCCGACAGCAGGGAGCAGCGACGACCACCGGGATGGCGCATTGAGATTCAAGGGGAGGGGAAGACGTTGGAGTGATGAAAGGGACGCGAGGAGACGAGCCAACGGCTTGGATTCACCTGAGGACGGCTGTGAACGGCGGATTGCGGCGGCACTAACCGTCGACGAGCAAAAGGGGAAACCTCGCCGGAGCGGCGAGGGTTCAATTGCATGGAGCTTCGAGCTCTACACGGGGTCGCAGACTCATTCCACCGGTCGAGAGAGGCGGAGCGGCGCTAGGGAGCGATGACGATGACGAACTTGCGTCGGCATAGAGTAAAAGTGCACAGCAAGTTATGGCGAGCTGCAGCAGAGCTAGCATGGCGTATATGTGCCTCAAGCGGCGGCGGAGAAGCTAGCTAGCTAGCAGCCTAAGAGAGAGAGGAACGGAGGGATGGAATAGCTACCGCGACGGGAGGGGCACTGTGAAGGAAGGCCGTTGGTGCGAGATGTGATCATCTTGGCCTCGGGTTGAGGAAGAGGATGAAGCGGGAGACGAAGTCCACATCATGCATCCACGAATGCACTGGCTCCTCCGGCATGCTCAACAGTGGACGGACGACGGCAAAACGACAACAACGCAGTGGCTTTGGGGCAAGCTCGATGCGATCGCGGGGAAGGGGACCGAAATGAGAGAGGGGAGGTGGTATTTATAGGCACCGGGCAAGCCTTCGAGGAGAAGGAAGGAGCACGGGCGCGGTCAAGGAAGGCGGTGGCAGACGTGCGGTCTCCGGCGGTAGGCACCAACGGCGGAGCAGATCGCCAGTCCGGGAAGGGAAAAAGGAAAAAGGAAAAATGGGAGGGAGGAAAGGGGCTCGGTTCCTTGCTGTTTTGAAAGGAAGAGGGATAGGAGTGCGAGCTTTGTCTCGTGGTTTTGGAGGCTTGCGGTGTTGAGCGGTAGCACTCGGGATGACGGTGGTGTTGACGGCAAAAGAAGGTGGTGGCCGGTTTGGCGTCGAGCGAGGGCAAGGCGGTCGTCAACGTAGGCAGCGGGCAGAGGGGTGACGCCCAGCGTCCTTCCGGTTAGAAACGACCGGCGCGCACGCGGGAAGCAACGGTGGTGGCGCGGGTTTGAACGGCAATGGCGGCAGCAAGAGAGAGAGCGAGTGTGAGGCGGGCACTGCCTCTGCTCCGGCACGTGCACGGCACATGATCGGGGGAGCACGGGCCACCGGGCCAAAAATGGGCCGGGAGCGACGTGGCCCAGGGGGAAGGGAGAGAAAGGTGGGGAGATGAGCTGGTAAGGGGAAAACGGCCCAAGGGAGTAGGAGGGAGGGCACAATAGACTTTTATAGAGAAAACTGATTTCGAGGTATTTGGATTTTGGAATTTGAATTTGAATTAGGCATTTGCACCCAAAGGTTCAAGGAAGGGATTCAAAGGGGAATTTGATACTTTCGGAAATTGGAACAAGTATTTTACAATGATTCAAGGAAGAGGTTGAATTTCAGAATTTGATTGTTTTGTAGACTTGATTTGGAACTGAAATTTCGAGGTGGCGATTTTCGATGTTGATGAGAGGGGAGAAGGATGGATTTGAATTGAGATCCACAACACGACTTAGAATCACACTCAAAGTACGAATTTTTCACGAATAGGATTTTATTAATTTAGTTTTTAATGTCTCGCGAAAAGCAGGGCGTTCACCAAGTGCAAAATGATGCAAAGTATTTCAGAAATCACATATGGTACTTCAACTCCCAATTCTCATTCACGAGCCTTGGAGTGACCCTTGACCAAAAAGTCAGCACTGCAGTGGGTACTGGTGTGTATACATTTCGTGTGCACGATGCATTGTACCATCGTCTAGACAATTTGGTTCCATGTTCTCAAGGGCCTCGCCATATGCAACTTTATGATACAAAATATGCTAATGCACTGACACATAGAGTTCGAAGGTCTCATGACCTTGATATCAACCTTGCCCGAGTCATTCTAGGTATTTTAGCGTCGAACCCATATATATAGACCTTTAACAGAGTCGGATCCATGCCTAATCTATATGACTACTTGATTGAGCTCAACACCAATGTAACGCCTGACCAACGAAGATATAATGCACCCACTGCCTCGCAGGTTGCTGCTATCTGGTTAGAGGGGGATGATCCAATAAGAACTTTTGATAGACATGTCTTGGTACATGCCAAAGGTGATAACCCTAGCTATATCAAAGTATACCATGGTTGTTATGATCCTTTGGTGTATCCTTTATTTAACCCTAATAGGGAGACTGGGTGGAACCTGAAAATTTCATACAAGGATCCTAACAAGAATCCTTGTGGTGTGGAAATGGATGAAACATGTGAGGCGCCAAATTTTGTTAATGTACATATCAATGAAGAAAGCACTTTTGATGATCTTCCGGGTACATACACTCATGACCTTTATTGAATAATTTTTAAAGTTTATGCCCTTATGCATTGTTTATGTATATTAATATGTAAGTTTGGACGCAGAGAACGAGGTTATTGACAATTATCTAGACAATGAAGATGGTAATGACGATAGTAACAGATCTGGCAAAGGGAAAAAGGAAAAGTTTATCACAGAGAGGGAGTACTATTGCTTCAGGCTGCAGGTTAGAAGGGAACTTCTAAACATCATTTTATTCGGAGGACGATTTTTCCAGCAATGGGCCGTTGACATGTGCATCAAAATCGAGTCTATGAGACTCGATTGGTATTCAAACCCTGTGAACCAAAAAAGATATGAGCTGAGTTATACCAAGTAAATGATATAACATAGGAGATAAAAAATTTACACTAAAAAATTTTGGTACCTTTTATAGTAACTATAGAGAGGACCGTAAAATTTATGTACATAAAAACTCTCATCCATTGTTTAGACCATAATCGGGATGGTTCTGAGCTAAGGGTGGGGGATGCAGAAGCACTGTTTTGTGCATTAGCGCTAATCTCGTCCAGACCACACTATCTGCAGGAACGGCTGTGATTTCTTCTTCCTCCTTCAGCCTTTTC